AAAATGTATTTTTATTTCAGATTTTCGCCTAAGATAATTAATTTAATCAAATAATTACTGGTCACGTAAACGATTGACCTTTCAACTCGCTTTACGGTTAGCTTGAAATTTATCAAGTTATTTCAAAATGTTTGAGTGTTATTTATTTTAATGAGGTTTTGTTAATTATTACAATGTTATGCTACGAATTATACACTTGATACTGTCATCAATGATTGAAAATGTTACACGATATCATAGTATCCATCAAATAATTATGGGACCGATAGAGACAATGATCAAGGACTTTCAAGGCAGAACGAATGGAAAACAAAAAAAAATGTAAAACTTGTTTTATACACATGCTTGTGCTTCAATAAACAACACGAGCAACTAAAAGTGGGCGTATCAATTTTTCTTTCTAATTTTCAACCATACTGCAACTGTTGTTTCATCAAGAAATATCTTTAATAATTTGAAAAAAAAATTCTAAACGAGATGTGAAAAAGGTTTTTTTTTTCTTTTTTTTTTTAGAATCCAGCGCATCACACGTATTTTCCATTGTTATTTTTGTAATTAAACGCAGTGGAATTTCACGGTTGCCGTAATTTCAGAGAAAAGCATCTTAAATGTACCCACCACGTGTGCACATTGCAGTAAGTAGTCCAGAACTCTCAGGCTTCTCCTTCCATGTGAAGCCTCCCCCAGACTCTGACAAAGAAAATCTCGCCTCACACGCGCCGTCTTAACAATCGTGAGATCGTTAGTAAAAACTCCCAGCGCAAAGTGTAACTTCTCAGTGTTTGGCGATGCATTGGAAAGGCATCACCATATCCACCAAAATGCGTTAAAAACCAACAAAAGTGAATTTTCTAGTTTTACGGGACCTCCCGCGATATTCGTTGATCATTGTTCGACATGTCGATGTGAGTGCAATACGTAACTGTGTCAATGGTAAGGATCACACCCCAGAGAGTATAATATAGTATGGGACTCGGTACTTGTACGAATAAAAATAAACATAAAACTTTTGAAGGACCCGAGTCGAGAAAAATCACACGCCACGAGGGATATTTTCAGTACTGGCCGGAGATCTGCCATCAGTACGTCGGAGTTTGGTCTGTACTCTGATTACAGCGATCACTACAAATTCGACACGTACGGCAACACAATTCGCAAATTCGTCATTGGAGTCATGGTTGTTGTCTCCGTGATATTGGTAAGTACCTATATGTATATCGATAAGCACTGCCCAACGCGAAAATTTCACCGCAAGAGAGAAGGAAAAAAAAAAAAAAAAAAAAAAAAAAAAAAAAGAAGCAACAGCCTAATGGTTTTGCGAGCCGTGTTTACTCGCATTAAAGAGCCAAAAAACTTATTTTCACCAAAGTCGCGCTATGCACAATCTCGGCTGGCTGCACGCATGACGGCCCAAGCGGCAAGCCACTTACGCGTTCTCTCCGCACACGCGTATGTATACAATACACGTTAATGGGGCACAAGTAGCCAGAGAGAGAGAGCCAACGATCTCGCGCGATAGAAAGGAGGCGTCCGCTCCTAGGGGTTAATAACTACTTAATTTATGCGATGCACTCGCCCGTACGTGTGGTGTAAATATATTATACGGTTTTTCGGCAGATCGGCATATTCCTGTACGACTTTGCGTCGAGCGCGTCGGTGAGCAGCAAAGCCAGCCAGGAGACGAAGCACATCTACGTCCTGCAGAACAGCCTGAGAAAGGGCCTGGCCGTGACGAAAAGGCCCAACGCCACGCTCCCACCCAGCGTGTACATCGTCAACACGAGCAGGGAGACGCTCTTCGAGGATCGCTCGGATGACGCTCGGAAGGTCGAGTTCGAGACCGCGCTGCCCGATAATGAGACCCGCGAGCAGAGGATGGCTATCGACGAGCACGACCCGGTGGAGTCGAGGGCGCAGAATTTGGAGAACTTCAAGCACCGCGGTGGCCTTGTGAAGCGCCTCCACGAGCAAAGCGACGTCTTCGACAACCACGCGATCGACTACCGAGTCAAGTGAGGAAACGCCGAACGAGGGTCGAGTTTGACTTTTTTAAATAACGATTTTCGTGTTTTCAACACCAGTAGGCTCAAGGTGCCGTCGGGGATGGTCGACGAGGACAGTAGCGACGAGGAGACCCACCGGGGAATTCCGTTCAGGTTCGAGCTGAAGGGCCCGCACCCGGCGTCGTTCAAGCGGCTCAAGTACCCCCAGCTCGGGCAGTACCGTTACCACCCGCACGCGACGAGGAACATCCAGGACGTGATAAAGTACCTGGTGAGCGACCCGGACACTCTCAATCGGGGCTTCAAGTTCACGGGGTTCTACGTGAATCCGAAAAAGTACGACAGCGGCCATCCGGATATAGGGGTCGTGGCGATGAACGGCGACAGGTCGGAGGAGCAGGAGAGCGCCGCTTACGCCGTTGGTGCCGATCCGCTGTACCAGTACAAGCCGAAACACCCCACCGACGTCAACCTGCTCGCTACCTCGAACTTCAGGTGAGACGCGCTACTACCTACATGGTTTTTTTTTTTTTTTTTTTTTTTAACTTTATTTGGGACTATGGAGTATTTAGTGAGAGCCACCACAACCTGTGCTGTATAATTTGGACACGTAATCGGTGGGTGGCACTTTGAATCTTTCGTACAACGTGTAACAAGGTTCGAACAGATATAATTATTCTTACTAATGTTTTTAAAGAGATTACTTTATTGGATGTAGTTTGATTTTACGTGTTCAAGCTATAAGTTGAACAGTGACATATTCTATTGAAAAAAAAAACAAAACTGGGATTTTATCACCATTTTTAAGAACCATGTGGTTGATTGAGACAAAATCATGTGGTAAATGACTAAAAACCGCATGGTTTTCTCTATAAAGTACCTCGTTCATTGTTTACGAATAATTTTTCTGTATCAGAGATAAAAATGTCCTTGCTCCAAAATAAAAAAAAAAAAAAAAAAAAAAAAAAAAGGAAAAATTTAGAGTTCGCGATAAAATGTTTACTTAAAAAGCCCCGCAAGATATATTTGTCGCCCAATATCGTTTAGATTCTCGCCTCTGGAGGTTCAGCGCTACAACTCGTACTACGACAAGTACTACCAGAGGCCAGGCCCCGCAAAGCCCCTGTACCCGGTGCACCACGAGAACCAATACGAGAACACGGTCGCCTACAATCCCCCGGTGGTTTACAACAAGAAAAAAAAGCCAAAGCCGTTCAGCGTGATGCTGGACATATACCCGATCACCGAAGGGCTTGATCAGTCGCAAAAAGCTCCGCGATCCAAGCCACAGGTGATGATGGACGAGCCCGACTCGCGTAGACCCTTCGACCCCTACAACATGGCCACGCGACACCCAAAGCTATACGGGCTGCAGGTACCAACGCCCTACGTGGCACATCAGCCGTCCGAGGACGACGACAAGCACCAGATGATCCTCCACCTTAACCTCTACCCGAAAAAGAAGAACAAGCAAACTAGGTATGCCTATACCTTTTTTTCTTTATCTTTAATGACTGGATGAAGCCATTCAAAACAATATCGAATATCGCGCAAAAAATTATACGTGTAGTTGCAACGTGACAAGTAAAAAACGCGCTCTGAAACATTTCAAAAACGAAAAGCCGAGTGTCGAAAGATGGGGGGGGGGAGGGGATAATCACGAGAGTCCATAAAATATCAAAATTGCCGGAGATAATGATAATACAGTTGTTGTTGCCAAAGTCCCACGAAGAATGGCACATTAAACGATCGTTTCGCTCTGTAATCGCTGTATGATGCATCATCGCCACAACGTATAATATAAATATCCCCTCGTAGTGGCTCGATCCATCATCTTTTTCGCGTTCGTCTCGACAATCGCTCAACATCTCTATGCATACTTTCACTGCTGCTGCGATACGAAACCTGTGTGTACAAAAAAAAAAAAAACAGCGCGTGTAACAACGCCAGAATCAAAGGCTGAAAAAAAAAACACCCCGTCACTTACCTACGCTCGTTGCGCTTTTACTTACGACTCGAGTTAATAAATTGTATATGCATACAAGATGATTACATTTTTATGAAAGAAAAAAACTTGAGTTAACGAGCTGTCTCTCGAATCAAATGGTGATGACTCTGTTTCGTAAGCCAACGGGTGCTTGCAAGATTGACACAATCCATATATGAAGGCGTACAAAAATGTAAAAGTCACTCTTGTAATAAGACGCGCCCCTACCTTTTTAAAATCAAACACATCATCCGCAATACACTCATTTTCGCGAAAATAAAAAAAAAAAAAAAAAAAAAACTGACGAGTCCTTCAAAAAGGTTGTGGTACCTGAAACACTCACCTGCGCACTTTTCGCGATAAATCAGCGAGTCCTGAGCAACTGAGTCTACGTGCAATTAATCCCCTTGGCGGACTTGATAAATACTTCCAATTGAACCGCACCTCGTGCACCGTTTCAGAAACGAAATAATCAACCGATCGCAGAGCGGGCCACCAGAGTCCGAGAACGAGCGTATATTCAACAGAATGATCATCCCCTTGGACGCGATAGCCAAACACCTGGAGGATCAAGCGATGGATTCTCGGGACAGCGAGTCGTCGAGTTTGCGTTACGAGGAAACTCTGTTGGCAAAGGAGGAGGTCGAACTGACCGACGAGTTTCAGGCCGACAAATTCGTTGCCACGGCGACCAGTGCCGAAGACGCTGCTTCGACCACGAATATACCTGAGAGTGATAGCGGTAAAAACAGCACAATGGCCACTGTCGAGGACCTTACCACCACTACGTCCACGGAAACCATCATCATCGTCGAGGATACCACTCCCAGGAAAAAGGACTCTCCCGACATCGACACCATCGAGGGCTTCCAACAGTTTGCCGACAGCTTAATCGCCACCGACTGACCTTATCCCTTTTTTTTTTTACCCCTAAAGTTAACCAAAAACTACAACAGTAGCTTTACATTGTTATTATTATTATTATTATTATTACAATAAGAATAATAATAATAATAACAATGTTACCATTGGTAACATTGTTATTATTATTATTACTATCATCATAATCATTTTTTTCAATCTACGGTTTGTTATTTTTCCTTTCAATTGATCGTTAGCTAGATACAATTGTAAAAATTTCCGTTGTATTTACGTGAAAAAAGAAAAAAAGTCGACTAGCATAATAATCAGTGATAAAAATACTCAGTACGAAGTGTCGTGAGGTTGAATAAGTCGGCCAAATATCAAATGGGTTGTACACACGTATATGCATATGTATACACAATATGTAAATCTGACCAAGAAAGATCTAGCAAATAAACAGATGAAAATTTTTTACAAGAAANCCACAACCACCTAAGCAACCACAATATCCTACTAGACCTCAACCGCCACCGCAACCACCTAAGCAACCATCGGAACCTATACCTCCTATAAGCCCTCCATCAACGGATGGGTACATTTATTCAAAACCAAATAAGACTTTCTCCTATCCAACCACAACAACAACATCTCAACGGACCTCTACAAATTCACCTAAACAAAGCTCAACCTCCCCGTCAACTAACGGTTACATTTATCCTAATCCGGATCAAACTGTCACCTATCCATCGAAAGAAACAACAACGACATCCCCAAGACCGCGACCTCCTACAACAACTACCACGAGACGAACGACGTATCCAACCACAACAACACCTCAACGGACCTCTACAAATTCACCTAAACAAAGCTCAACCTCCCCGTCAACTAACGGTTACGTTTATCCTAATCCGGATACAATTTTCACCTATCCATCGAAAAAAACAACAACGACATCCCCAAGACCGCGACCTCCTACAACAACTACCACGAGACGAACGACGTATCCAACACCCCCGACATATTTACCTCCAGGCCCCCCGAGTACAACAACAACAACGACAACTCCACGACCAACTACATCGCCAAGAACGCGACCTCCTACAACAACTACCACGAGACGAACGACGTATCCAACACCCCCAACATATTTACCTCCAGGCCCCCCGAGTACAACAACATCGACAACTCCACGACCAAAGCCATCAACCACTCAGCCACCTCAAAAATTATCTACGCGACCAAAAATACCACCCACTGGTCCAACATATTTACCTCCGCAATCCTCCACTACTAGTAAGAGATATTCACCTATTCCTACTTCTACGACACCTCGGCAACCACCACGTCAAACATCTATAATTACCTCTCCCCGAACACCACCAACGACACAACCAAGTACCCGAGCCACCTATTTGCCTCCAAATCCTGATAAAAAACCTAATCCCCCACCATCTCCAACGCCTCCACCAACTCCTAGTAGGCCACTACCGTACTTGCCACCTTCATCTCCTAGACCAAGCTATCCGACGATTCCTGTACCTCCATATCCGCCAGTAATATACGGCAATCTGACAAAAACAACGACCACCACAAGAAGACCACCTGGTCCGCCAGCACCAGGTCCAACATTCCCTACTCCCACTAGCAGACCATATCGAGGATACAGTTACCCGATCCCCGAAATTTCGTTTGATTATCGGTAATCATTTTTTTCAATCTACGGTTTGTTATTTTTCCTTTCAATTGATCGTTAGCTAGATACAATTGTAAAAATTTCCGTTGTATTTACGTGAAAAAAGAAAAAAAGTCGACTAGCATAATAATCAGTGATAAAAATACTCAGTACGAAGTGTCGTGAGGTTGAATAAGTCGGCCAAATATCAAATGGGTTGTACACACGTATATGCATATGTATACACAATATGTAAATCTGACCAAGAAAGATCTAGCAAATAAACAGATGAAAATTTTTTACAAGAAA